TAGAAAACTAAGAAAAACTTACCTATCCTCTATTAGAAATGACACACCAGGAGAGCAGTGGAAGGGGGAGAAAATTGGTCTCCCCCCCCCTTCTTCTGGTGCATCATTTCTATGTGCTGGGAGAACTTGCCGGGGCTTCTAATGGAGGATAGGTAAGTTTTTCTTAGTTTTCTAAGGAGTTAGGGGGCTTGAGGGGAGGGGGTAAGGCCTTCAGACATTATCTCAGGCTAGTCCTGAGAGAACGTCTGAACACCCACCCCAGAAAGTGTGCGCTTTCTGGGATGAGTGTGGGCAGGTCACTAGGAAAATCCGTGTTTTTCAGACGCAGGTACTCCTGGAATTAGGGTTTGTCTGGATCCAGCCTGAGTCCACACTGACATATAATCCAGTTCAATGTGGATATTACACAGCTGTGTGGAAGGGACCTGAGCTGCTGAATCTATTTTGGGCATATGGCTCAGCATATTGGATAACTCCTTCAAATCTTGGGTTAAAATCCAGAGTGGACTCATTGTCATGGGATCCATCAGCCACTACTGGTAGGTTCTAGGAATGTTCCTCTCATAATAACAGTGCAATTATGTTATTATCTAATGGTTGTACTTTGTCATGATCCATGGAGATCATTTTCAGCAGTTTGTGGGTGCCTGATGTTTCAGAAGGCCTGTTGAAGTGCTCGGTGTCGTAGAAAACCAAAGTAGAGATTTTCAGGTTCAAGCTTTAAGTTCACTGTGTGCTGAAATTCCAAGGAAATATTAATGGGTCCCAAATTCACCTGACACACGTTGAATTGTGTTCAGTAAGCAAATTTTGCTTCTTTGTTATTACTCAAGGTAATAATAAATTGCAAGCTCGGTATCTCATAGCCTGTTTCAGAACCTCAACAGTATGATTTTCCCCTGTTGGGAGACTAGTGGGATTTATACTTTGAGTTATTGCAAGCAAATTAAGAATTACTTCCCCTAATTAATTTCCACCTTAATTATGCACTCTGTCATAAATGCTTTTAGAGACAGGGTCCTGGAAGTATTTAATCTGGGTTTTTTTTTACTTCTTCTTGGTTGTTTTTTACAAGATTGAGGTATCATCTCTGCTGACTGAAAGCCTTGCAGTTTGATGGACTAATCCAAGCCTGTTTAGCTTATCACAGTGATTCTCAAAGTGTGCTCCACGGAGCCCTTGGAGCTCTGCGAAGCATACTAAAAGGCTCCGCAGTTCTCTCCTCCTCGTTCTCCCCCTTGCTCCTCCCTTACCCTCAAAGGCCTTTTTTGCTCATTTCCTGCAGTGCCAAAAGCCTTTTTTCCTCACCTTCCTGATCCTTCCCCTTTCCTCTTGCTTGCTTCCAAAATCCTGCCCCCCCACCCCACCCCCACAGCTCAGGGAGTGCCTCAATTGAACTTTTCCTGCATGGCAGAAGGGGGTTGGACTGGATGGTCTGTTGTTGTTACGAAGGCTGGATGACCATCTGGGGGTGTTTTGATTGTGTTTTTCCTGCATGGCAGAAGGAAGTTGGACTAGATGGCCCCTGGGGTCTTCCACTGATATACTGTTAAGTTTATGTTGGTCAAAACGTTTGCTCGTGACTGATATATATGCATGATGTATAATATATAAACATTTCTTGGGGCTCCACAAGAAACATTAGCTTCAAAAACGGCTCCACGGCTGAAAAAGTTTGAAAACCCTGGCAAACTAAAAAAAAATGAGTTCCCACTTCCACATCCAGATGCCCTGAATATGCGAGGGCTTCGCCTTTTGGTTTTTGTTGTTGTATGTGAAGTGTAGTTTAGGTAAGGTTCGCTATAAGTGTCAAAAGTTAATGGGGAGTAGGTAGAACTAAAGAGCAGGACCATAAATAAGTTCAGGTTAATACTCAAAGGCACAACGGAACATCCAAGTTTTTAAATCCTTACAGAAGGTGGATAAGGTGGGTGCTTGTCTGATCTCCTTAGGGAAGGAGTTCGAGAGCCAGGGAGCCACCACTGAGAAGGCCCTCTCCCTTTTTCCCACAAGCCATGCTTGAGACGGCGGTGGAAGCAAGAGGAGAGCCTCTCCAAATGATCTTAGGGTACGAATTGGTTCGTAGGGGATGATGTGATCACTAAGATAGGCAAGTCCCAAACCATTTAGGGCTTTGTAGGTGATAGCCTGCATCTTGAATTGGGACCGGAAACATATTGGAAGCCAATGGAGCTATTTAAACAGAGGGGGTTGACCAAGAGTAAACACAATGGAGCCAGAGATGGAAATCAACCCCTGATAGCTCTGAAATCTCCTTGGAATCAGACAAAAAATTCCTGCCATGAATTTCTAACAGTCTGAGAATTTTCCCACAATGGATCGGGACAGGAGGTGTCATTTGGACATTTTAAAAGATTACTTGGTACAAGAACAATTCCCTATACTGCAAGGTTTTTGGACAGTCAGTGGTGATGAAATGAAAATAAGGATTGCATCTACCAATCTCCACTGCGGGTGAATGACTCCACGTGGGATGAAGTTCACAGATGCAATTTTCTTGGAGATGGATGTGATCATGCCTTTTTCCCCCATCCTCTTGGAGAACTGCCTGTTCTAATGCACGCCAGAGGAGAGTCTGCTGTTTTCAGCGTGGTCTTAAGTAATTTGCAGGCACTAATTCCTGAAGCCTTCAGAAATGACTCACTTAATAACAGGGACCGCACTCTAATTAGCTTCAGCATTCCAGAGCAAGGGGGAAAAAGAACCACGAGGCAACATTATTGAAAGGTAGGGCCTGGCTGCTTTGTTGAAATGAAGCAAGCTGTGTGGCCATTGATATCAGATCAAAAAAGAGAGGAAATGAGTGAGGCACAGATGTTGCGTAGGAAAGCCATCCGAGTTCACCGGATTCTGGAATGTATCCAAAACCATTGAGTCCAGATTCAGTAGCTCTCTTCTCCTACTGCTCCAGGTTTGAAAAATTACTTGTGGGGGCCACAACTACCAGAATTCCTTAGTCAGCAAGAATATTGCTCTAGATCAGGGCTCCTCAAACTAAGGCTCAAGGGCCAGATACGGCCCTCCTAGGTCATTTACCCAGCCCTCGCTCAGAGTCAACCTAAGTCTGAAATTACTTGAAAGCACACAACAACAACAACGACTACCTTGGGAAGTCGGATCTGGCCACGGTGGTCCACGCTCTTGTTACATCCCGGATAGATTACTGCAACGCACTCTACGTGGGGTTGCCTTTGAAGACTGTTCGGAAACTTCAATTAGTCCAGCGGGAGGCAGCCAGACTGCTCACCGGAGCGTCATACAGGGAGCATACCACCCCCCTGTTGTGTCAGCTCCACTGGCTGCCGATCCAGTTCCGAGCACAATTCAAAGTGCTGGTTTTGACCTACAAAACCCTATACGGTTCCGGCCCAGTGTATCTGTCCGAACGCATCTCCCTCTACGTCCCACCTCGGAGTCTGAGATCTTCTGGGGAGGCCCTGCTCTCGACCCCGCCTCTATCACAAGTGAGATTGGCGGGGACGAGGAGCAGGGCCTTCTCAGTGGTGGCCCTCACCTATGGAATTCACTCCCTGGGGAAATTAGATCAGCAACATCCCTCCTTTCCTTCAGAAAGAAATTAAAAACATGGATGTGGGACCAGGCCTTTGGGCAATCTGGCAGATGAATAAAGGACAGTGACGACGGATAGGAATGGACAATGTGGAACGAAATATGGACTCTGAGTTGGCGAACGCTGTGTCTGAGATTGGCTATCGATTGTGAGATATATTGTTGTTTTAATTGTTGACCATTTAATTGCTGTTTTTATATGTTATTGTATTTGTGTGGGCACCAAGATGTGCCTTTTGTAAGCCGCCCTGAGTCCCCCCTCGGGGGTTGAGAAGGGCGGGGTAGAAGTACACGAAATAAATAAAACAAAAAATCCTATCTCATCAGTCATAAGCAGGCCCACACTTCCCATTAAAATACTAATAAGTTTATATTTGTTAAAAATGTTATTAATTTTAATTATTGTATTGTCTTTCAGTGTTTTTGTATTACAAATAAGATGCGCAGTGTACATAGGAATTCATTCATGCTTTTTTCACATTATAATGCGGCCCTCCAACAGTTTGAGGGACTGTGACCTGGACCTCTGTTTGAAAAGTTTGAGGACCCCTGCTCCAGAGTATTGCTTACAGCACCTAGTATTAGTTGGTGACCCTCCATCCAATTACTAACTAGGCTGACCTGGTTTAGCTTCTAAGATCAGATAGGATCTGATGCATACAGTTAGCCCCCCATATCCAAAATTCTATGTTCATGGATTCATGTACAACTTGACAGTATCTTCCCAACCCTTATCCCAAAAAACAAAGCTTGAATTTTCCATTGTATAGAAGGGGAAACATTTTATTAAACAAATGTATACAATTGGACATGAGCATCCACTGATGTCCTAGAAACGTATCACGACGGATACTAAGGGCCCACTGTATATTATAATTTAAATGGAAACACCTTCCAGGAGACAAATGGGCTTTTAACAAGTTACATCCCAGAGTGGTTTTAAAGAGTGGTTTCCAAGCTTTGGAAAATGGAGTACATCAAGCGTGACCAACAGTGGTCTTTTCAAAGATCAACTTCAGAAGGATGAAAAATATTTGTATTATCTGTGTAGTTTAAGGAATTATTGTCAGCTTGACCCAAAAGCCTCCCTTTGAACATTGTATATATTAAATAACTTTTGTTTCAGCTCCCCTTTTTATATATTACATAATACATAATTACAGTATTGTTAACAGCTTTTCCTTAGATGCTTCTGACAAAAAAAAAATCTAAATGGGCAAGACATTTGCTTTTGTTCTGTGCTCATTAAATAAATTCTGCCTTCCTACACTTAAGCTGCATTTGCAGGGCGATATAACCAATTTCCTGTCATTAAAGTTTTCAGTATCTCTGGATGGTGGTGACTTTGCAAGATATAGAATTCCAGTCTTGCTAATTTTGTTCGTTCTTCTCTGATTCCTTTTCTTTAGGTCCCCAGTGCAATGCCTTAGTGGACCTGATTGGGACATGTTGGCCTCGTAGCGTGGCAGGGCAGCTGGTGGCACGTCCTTGCCCTGAATATTTCTTTGGAGTACGATACAACACCACAAGTAAGTCAAATGAAGGGCAAGGGGAAATGTGTGTAGCAGCCATAAGCCAAACAGTCATGTGAATTTAAATAAAGTGGGTTCAAGAATTATTTTCGGAGGAGGGGACTATTATGGCCTGAGGTGGCCTTTCTATAGGAGAGAGAAGTTGGTTCCTTCTCTCCCCCCTATCCTTTCCTTCATCACTCTGGCACTCTCTGCTCCATTGCTCCAGGTGATGAGCGACTGGCATGACCCATGGCATGCCTGCTGGCTGTTGCAACAAGGACAATGGAAGGGAACATCGGTGCTGTTAAGCCAGATTTGGCACTGCTGCACAGTCAGTACTCTTTCTCACCATGGCAAAAGTATGATAGCTGGGACCCTACACTACACTACTTGCAGATCACGAGTCAGAATTAATGAAGGGAAGACGTGCACAACGTGGGTCAGAACGGGGGGTCAGAAGGAGGGAACAACAAACAGCCAAGCATACTGCTTAAGGCGAGTGAAGTAATGTTAGAGTTATTTACTGTTAAATGATAAACAACGGCTTACAAAGATGGTAAACGGAATAGAAAGGTTTCTTCTCTCCCTTTCTGGCAAACAATGTTCCCATGACTCTGATGCAGCTGCGTCTCTCACTTGCTGCGCTGTCTCGCACACGTGTTCCCCTCATTAATGCAGACCTACGTTGCGAAACCAACATAGGGTCCCAGCTATCATACTTTTTCTCTCACCTCTGCAGCGGCCAGAGGATGCAGCAGTCTAAACCATCCCAGGACCAATCCAGGATTTCCCATACTGGATTGCAATAATGGGAAAAATAGTCAGTGTAGAACAGGCATGGGGAAACTTTGGCGCTCCATATGTTTTGGACTCCAACTCCCATAATCCCTAACAGCTGATAGGCTGTTAGGAATTGTGGGAGTTGAAGTCCAAAACACCTGGAAGGCCCAAGTTGGTTCATGCCTGGTGTAGAACCTCCCTGCATCTGTTCCTGCCAAACCAGGACAGTTCTTGGGGCACTGCACACCTAACCCTTGTGAAAGTGAAGAGCCTACTGTATATAAATGTGTCCTAGGGCACACTAAGTGTGGACTCAGATAACCCAGTTCAAAGCAGATATCTTAGTGTGGACTCAGATAACCCAGTTCAAAGCAGATATTGTGGGATTTTCTGCCTTGATATTCTGGGATATAGGGCTGTGTGGAAGGGCCCCTAGTTGTTATGCCAACCAATCTTTGTTTAACTGCATTGTAGATTCTGGTGTTAAAAGCAGTTAGTTTTATTATGTGTTTATTGTATATTCATGGTATTACAGTTAATGACCAGAACAAGATATAACAGATATAATAACAGTACAATAAAGTACAATACAATAGCAAATAAAGAACTGGCATCATTAAACACAACATATTTGCAATACTGTAATGTAAAACAAAGCTTGAAACACTGATATCTTTAATACTAAGCAATCTATGTTGGCAAGCCATTTATAGCACACAAAAACAGAATACCTTGGCTATGATCTCAGGAAACTGTTTATGTGCATCCTTTATCCACATCATAAATTTTGAGCTTGGGAACTGGGCCAGATTCAGTTTGTGGAGAAACGAAGAGATTTGTGTGTTCATTTGTCAAATGGTAGTGGAAATCATACAGTGGCGTCTGCTCACACGGATTCAAGTTATGGCCATTCTGTGGGTCTTCTCCTTAATAGAGAAGCTATCTTCCAACCATGGGCAAGTTGTCATGCTCTATGCCCTACCAAGAGTGTAAGAAATGTAGCCAGTAGGAGTGTGGCCATTTCAATTCCTATGTTTCTTAATGGAGTCTTTTTGCCCATACACACTTGTCATCACTAACCCAACAAATATTATTGCTTATGTTCTGCATGGAAGAAAAAAGGATTCAAGTTTAATTCCTCCCTTCTCCAGTTTTTGACAACTCCAGGGCTTTCCAACCATCTTCCTTCTCTGGAAATGTAAATTCACACACACACATACAATGAATGGCATGGCAAAACTTTTGATTCTTTGCACCCTAGGAATAATGAGAGATGTGATCCAGGAAATGTACTTGTAAAATCTTGCTGGGAAAGGGGAAAGAAGTAGCACATAACAAGTTAACTTTAGTTATTTATTTCTGTGCCCTAGATTGCCTGAGCAATAGAGTTGTGCATGGAATTGGTTTCTCACTAGGCATGGATAGAGTCGCTCGGATAACTCGTTGCTCGTAATAATTTCGTTAAAATTATCTTTTTGAAGCAATATTGAAGTTTTTTTAAAAACCAGAAGTCCCTTTGCCCTTCTGAAGCTTTATCCACCATTTTTGTTATGACTCAGAAAGTGAGTTGGAAATGATTCGGCTTTTCCCTGCTTCTGGTCCCTGGCCTCAGCTCAAGCCAGAGAAGCCAGTTTTAAACCAGTGCAGGAAGGAATTTCCTCCCTTTTGCTTTTCCCCGCTTCTGGTCCCTGGTCTTAGCTCAAGCCAGAGAAGCCAGTTTTAAACCAGAGAAGGAAGGAATTTCCTGGCCTTGGCTCAAGACAAAGAAGCCAGTTTTAAACCAGAGAAGGAAGGAATTTCCTGGCCTCAGCTCAAGCCTGAGAAGCCAGTTTTAAACCAGGGAAGGAGGACATTTACTCCGTTTGCTTTCCCCCACTTCTGGTCCCTGGCCTCAGCTCATGCCAGAGAAGCCAGTTTTAAACCAGAGAAAGAAGGAATTTCCTCTGCTTGCTTTTCCCCACTTCTGGAGTAAAACAACTACTTTCAAGTAAAGATCACCCAATGAAACAGGAAATAACACTTTCAAACCATTAATGAAAGGATTTGGAAGTCTTGGAAGCTTCGAAAAGTTTTTTAAAAAATCTGTGAAAATCGGAATTGACTTTAGAATCGAACCACCAGTGCCCCCTACATCCGAAAAAAGTTTTGAACCATTTTTTTGTGGATCAACCAAACCTATTTCTCACATTTTGTTCATTTCTTTTGTTTCTTTGGGAGCATGAAATAGGAAACCTCCTCTCCACATGAAAATCAGTTCAACACAAAAGCAAGCTGGAACCAATTCTGGCTCCAAGCAACCAAGCGCCTCCCAAAACTTGTCTCCTTGCCTTGAGAAGAAAGTGCATGTGTGGTGTGCAGGTTCAGAAAGTGTGCGTGTCTGCCAGTACTTGCAGCCAAGCACCTTTTACTCAAGATTAAGAGGCGCTTGGCTGGAGGCACTGGTGGGCAAGCACGCTTTCTGGGCCTGTACCCCAGACACTCACTCTCTTTTCTGGAAAGCATACGCACCTGCCAATGCCTGCAGCCAAGTGCCGCTTACTCTAGAATAGAAACAGCAGGCAAGAAGCCTCCTTAAATTGTGCGCCAGGAAGGGGAGCCTGGGTGGGAAGACCCCTCCCCATAATGGTCTGATAGAAAATGGATCTTTCAGGGCCCCAAACCAAAAACAGATACCTGCCCTCCCGATTTTGGAAGGTTCCCAAAAAACAGATCAAGGCCTCCACCAAAAGCCAGGACACAAAACGGATCAATGTTTACCCCGAATGCACAACCCTACTGAGCAGCATTACATTTGAAACTGCATGTGATGTCCTTCCAATAGGCTGTAAATTCATTTTTGATTCTGTTGACAGATTCATGTATTAAAGTGTGTATGTATGTGTGTGTGTTTTTTTAATAACTAGAGGATCTCTTGATTGCAGTATTTGGTTTAATTGTAAATTTAGACATATTCATAGTTATGAAATGTAGTCTTAATGAGCAGAGGAGGAATATTACACTATATAACTCAATTTTTGTTCCTGGGTTATAAATGTCATTGTCAGATGGCCAATCCTCTCATACCAGAAGCAACTTGCAGTTTCTCAAGTCACTCCTGACATGAAAAAAGTCATGTTCTAATTGAGCCTATCATAAAAACATGGGAAAAGTTGATTAAATTGCAAAACTTTTTGCAGGACATCCTGCAGCACATTTTATTACAGTTTTTTCAATGAATATCTCATCAAGTCACAACCAAACTCAACATAGTTTGTGGCAGCCACAAAAATGAAGTTTCTGAAGTATAACATCTACTATTAAAGTAAGTACTGCACAGTTAAACAGGAAGTAACACTTTCAAACCAAGAACAGATTTTTTTCCACATTTTGTTACATACTATTATAAAACCAGAGAATTATAGAGTTAAAAAGAACTCCAAAGGCCATCTCCGGCTCTATGTTATGTAAGAACCCACATCTGATTTGGGGGACACACATCCCAACTGTGGATTTGCGCACAATGATTTGAAGCTATAATTTAGCAATCCCTCAACAGGAAGGCAAATCACTCTTTAATGTACAATTTAGAAATCTGAAGGTTTAAACAATATGAAATTATAGAAAAGCTTTCAGTAGTGTGGAGCTATAATAGAAATACATTAGGTTTGAAGCAGGGCTTGGAAAATGTATGAAAAGCATTTTGAGAATGGCATGGCTTCCTGGTGGCATAATGGAATGAAGAAATGTGTCATTTCCTCCACTTCTTCCTTCCACATATGAGTTTGTGGTTATTTTCCTCCCCCCACCCCTTTCTCTCTCTCTCTGGAACAATGGGTTCTTACAAGAGAGAACTAGAATTTGAGTGTTACAGAAATAAATCTAATTAGATATTGCTTGAAATTTCTTACTCTTGCTCTCAAAGTTTGATTGATTACTCAGGAAGTCTCACACTTTGCATGATGAGAAGTCATGCCCATTGTGCTGGATTTACACTGCCATATAATCCAGAGTATCTGTTTTGAGTTGGATTATAGGAGTCTACACTGCCATATAATCCAGTTAAAAACAGATAATCTGTATCCAGAAACTGGTTTATATCGCAGTATAGATGGGGCCGGAATAACTTACTGCAACCCAATGAATATAATAGCATTTTCTTGGGCAAGGAATACCCATTCTTTTCTCTGAGTCTACACTGCCATATAATCCAGTTCAAGGCAGATAATCTGGATTTTCTGCCTTGATATTCTGGGATA